GATCCGCGACCTTCTAATTACGTTGACGAGAGCAGGATACATCATGCATGGCGGTTTTATATAGACTTTGTGTCCATTACTTTGTGTAACAAATACTACAGTCAAAATAGCCTAATGTGCCATTTCTTATCACAGCCTACTGACATCTTTGCCGCAAATTAAGTGTCTGAGAGACTACTCTCCGATAACTTTAAGTTTGTCCAGCACTCCCTTGGAAAGCTTCAGTACGCAGCCAGTAAATGTATCTTTATTCCCTCTATAAATCCTTTCCGCTGGTAAGATTGTCTTCTGGATCCATTTGCCCTCCACAGGATGAAAACATTCAATCATCTGTTCGGCCTCGTTACGGTCATTCTTTCCACCCAACACAACAATTTTTCATTCAGACAAACCATATTACTTCCGCCCTTACGAGAAACAATCAAGCTTCCGGTAAGGATCGGTAAGGTGCCATTCATTTGTTGACATATAATACACCTCACGAGTTTGCAACACTGACGGTCTCTCTCTATGCGATCCACCAGCGACAAAAATTTTCTCGTGCATGACCACTCCAAAAGCATTACCTCTTTCTTCTCGCATGTCAGCGATTTCCTCCCACTTATTCTCCACGGTGTGAAATCTCTCAGCTTTTGCGACGTTTTGTGACGACGAGGGAGGTCTCCCACCAAGCACGTAGAGATGACAGCCGGCTGCAACAACACAAGCTTCCCTTCTACAGCCTTCAAGAGACGAAAGAAGTGTCTCCCAAACACTCGATTCTACATTGTATCTTTTCACGGTGGTTTGTTCCGGAGAAGTTTGAACCTCGACGGCGTAGATTTCTCCTTTAATGGCAACAACCGGGGAGTAATTTGCAGAAATGTCTAACATGGACCAAGCATTTAAAACTGGATTAAAAGTCCCTGCATTGCCATAACTACTCGGAAATGCAAACAGCTGCCCGCGTAATTTTATAGTGCGAAAATCATTGTTAATGCCAAACGACAGGCTGTCGGCTAAACGTTTCCACTGGTCCCTCTCAGGAAAATAACAAAGAGTGTATTTTCCCCCATAGGTCACAATGGCACTTGTTTCGACCCCTTTCCTCGGCGATTGTTGTTTTTCTCCTTCAATTGAGAAAGTGGTCTTCTTCAACGCATCCAATCCCATCTTTAAACAAAGAGGGTTTTCTTGCACAAGTTCGTTTGTCACGACATCAATTAAGTAATCACGCGATAAGAAGTCCAGCCGAACGTGACGAAACAATTCCTCCAAATTTGCTTTCCGCTCGCTTCTGTTGTGTTCCATCCACTTTGACATGATTTCAAACACATCAGCCTCTACTTTCACCGTGATTTCGTCGCTTGAAAGCCACCTTCCGACTTCTTTAGACTCCAAGCTCAAAAACTCATCCATTACTGCCACAGAAGCAAAATTTGCCTGGATGAAATTCTTGCTTCCGGTTAAAAGTTCGTCGCCCTAATATTTCTCAGCTAGGTAAAAAGTTGAAATGCAGTTTGAGTAGTTCATCTTCTGCTCTATGATTCGACCGGAAACAGCTTTCAAACTCGATAGTAGTAGATAATTTGCTGCAGCGACGAGTTCTTCGGCATTTTCCTCGGTCACTTCCACAGTTCCAGTGTAGAGAAAGTCAAGAACATCTTCCATAACGGATCCCGAAATCTCCTCAAAGCAAACAATTCCCTCTTTATTCTCCTTCATATTGCTCTGAAGAAGCTTGCAAAAGAACGGACTTGCGGCGGAAAGCACATTTCTGTGAGCATTCAACTCTTTGCCTTCTTTCGTCACCAAAGTTATGTCGCATAACTGCCCTTACTTCCTCTGCATGTTGAGCCGCTTCATAAGTTCAACACAGAATAAAGCTTGTTCAGTTTCAGTGATAGGAAGTAGATCTTCCATACCCTAAAGAATGGCTTTAATATGGTAGATTTAACTCGCGAGCTAGGATGGCGACAACAAAGCGAAACTTTATAGGCGGAAGTAGTCAAAAAGGTTGTTTCCAGGCCTCTTCGCCTCGTTTAGAGAGAGCTTGGACCACGCTTTCGTCTCTTCGACAGTTCTTTCCCTCTCAAACGATTTACGTTTTTTTCTCTCTCTTCGTTCTTTCAATCTGTTTTTCATAATACTTTCTCTCCTTTCGAAGGTACCAATTTCAGTTCAGTTGTAGCTCATTCTCTAGTCAGTTAGTCACGCCAAAACCCTTTCCCGCGGAAGTGTAGAGTTGTGCGACCGAGTTGAGAACCAGACCAGGAGTGTACAACGGGACACTAGTATTCTGTATTTTTTGTCTAGAACTAATGTGTACATTGCCCCATGACATAAACAACCACTGATCATCAAAAATCGTTTCAGATCGCGTTGTTGTTTGATAGCCCAATAAGCCCATGAAGAAAATAGTTTACAATCCAAGATTGTCTTAACCAGGATAGACTGTACTCACTGACCAGCAACCCTCCACCGATTGCTGAACACTCCACACCGATGGTTGAGGAGTATTTGTATCAAGCATTTTCTCGTCCCTACTCTTTTTCTACTCGTCCCATTACTTTCTCGTCCCGGAAAAATGGTGTGCATCCCGTCCTTTCCTCTCCCATCTTCCGTACCTCTTGCCACCATCTCTGCGCCTGGTCCCTAGCTAGTGTAGCCGCTCCTTGCGAAGCCGGGGCACCCTAAGTACGATAAAGTTCTACTAATTCCGTATTCGTGTTATTCGTGTTTTGACGTATTAATCACAGCCAATCTGTTTACAAACCTCGAAAACAAGGCTAATATTTTGACAATGGAAGACCCTCCACCCATCGCTGTCACAGAACAGAATCCCTTCTGTCTGGAAATGATGAAACGGCTCAACATACAACGAAAACAAGGCCAATTATGCGACATAACTTTGATTACGAAAGATTACCAGGAATTAAAAGCTCACAGAAATGTTCTTTCCGCAGCGAGTCCGTTCTTTTGCAAGCTTCTTCAGAGCGACATGAAGGAAAATCGGGAAGGGGTCGTTCGGTTTGAGGAGATTTCGGAATCTGTAATGAAAGATGTCCTGGAATTCATCTACACTGGAACTGCGGAAGTAACTCAAGAAAATGCCGAAGAGTTAGTCGCTGCAACGAATTATCTCATTGTCCCAAATTTGAAAGCAATCTCTGGTCGATATATACAACAAAAAATCTGTGCAACAAACTGCATCTCAACCTTTTACTTCGTCGAGAAATACGATTGCGAAGAGCTTGTAAGCGACAGCAAGAGTTTCATTCACGAGAACTTCGCGTCTTTGGCAGTCATGGATGAATTCCTAAGTTTGGAAACAAAAGAGGTGGAGAGATGGATTTCAAGTGATGAGATTGTTGTTGAAACGGAAGCCGATGTTTTCCAGATTGTACAAAAGTGGGCTGAACATGACAAGAGCGAGCGGAAAGCAGGATTTGAAGAGCTGCTTCGTCACGTTCGACTGGATTTCGTATCGCGTGACTATTTGTTGAATATCGTGACAAACGAACTCTTGCGTGACAACGCTGGCTGCCTCAGGTTGGTTTTAGATACTATAAGGCAGACCACGTTTTCAAGCGATGATGATCTTTCTCAGTCCCCTAGAAAAAGGCTTGACACACGTGCAATAGTGGCTTGTGGAGAAGAATGTGCCTTTTGTTATGTCCCTGAAAAAGGTGAGTGGAAAGGATTACCGAACAGGTTGGCAAAAGAGGGAATCAACATCCATTCAACCAACATGATACGATTTCGTGATCAGTTGTTCATGTTTCATGGCTTGGGTCAAGTAGAGAGGTATGATCCTGTCTTTAATTGTTGGTCATCATTCTCTTTCAAAATTCCAAACAAAGTGACTGTCATTGGAGGACAGTTATTTTCTATATACAAAACGGTCAGAAAAAAACCCCCACAACAGCCATTGAAAAATTCCATGTAGAGTCATGTTCGTGGCAAGAGTTTCACTCCTCTCCTCAGTACTACAGGACAAACGCTTGTGTCATTGGATCTGGTAACTTTTTGTATCTTTTGGGTGGGAGGCCCCCATATGCATCCCAATGTGTTGCAAAAGCTGACAGATTTGACATTATGGAAAAGAAATGGGAAGAAATTACAGAAATGCAACAAGCAAGAGGTGGAGCTTTTGGTGTTGCCACTCAAGAAAAGATTTTTGTTGCTGGAGGAGCAGATGAAGAAAGCACTGTGTTGAAAACATGCGAGGTATACAATGTTTCCACAAATGAATGGCAGTTAATTGCAGACTTGAATGTTTGCCGCACATATGGTAGCATGGTTTGTCTTGGTGGAAGGTTGTATGTGCTGGGTGGCTTTGACCAAACTAAGAAAAAGCCAGAACATTCAGTTGAATGTTATGACTCCACACAATGCAGGTGGATTGTGAAGACAACCATACCAGTGGAAGAGGACTGTAAGAATAAACATACATTTAAAGGCTGTGTGCTAAAATTCTCCAAAGGAGTATTGGATTATCTTGATGATGCAATTGAAGAAGATGAAGAAGATGGTAAACTATTCTAAAACTGTACTCCAATGAAAGAAAACAATCTGAAAAAAATACACTGAAGAAACAATTTGTAATGGCAATACAGTCCCCTTGATCAAAGCTAGATAAAGTTAGGTGGAACAATGACTAAACTTTTCCATCAACCCAAGTCAGGAAAGAAACATGGAATTTCCTCTGCAAAAAGTTATGCCATGCTAGGAGAACAAAATTTGGCCTGCTTTGTCACGGACTGAGAAACTGAATCCTTGATAAGTTTATGCTTATTTTTGTGTT